CTCGGAATATAAGACACGCGCGCGCGTGAAATGCAAATAAGGGATGACCGGAAAGAGGGGCGTTATAAAATATCCGTTCCTCGGAGTTATTATTTTCGGCGGTAATTGAAAATCCACCCTCGCCGCCGCCATTCCGGCCAGGAATTTATTTATTTATTATTATTATTATTATAACCATATCTCGCATCGTAGCCGCCTTCGCGTCTCCCGCGTTATTATATTATATATATATTAATATCGTCGTGCTCTCCGAATAACGGCAATAAACCTCTCCCGATATATTATTATATTATTATTATACTTTGTATTTTATAGGGCGGCCATTTAATGTCCGTTAAACCAATTCGAGGACTTAAATACGGCCGCGCGGGGACCGAGTAAATCTCGCCCCGAGGTCTTTTATTATCGCGTATTGTTTATTATATACATAAACTGCCTATACCTATATATAGTATATGTATTATGTATATACACAACTTCCTTCCGCCCCGACGCTTATATACGATATTATTGGTTTATTACCCATATATATACAGGTACAGATACATTTGACGCGTTTTCCAGGCAGTCTTTTGTCGTTTTGATTTTTAACGGTTTTAACAAAACACCTATGCAACTAACACTCAACACCATACTTTTTTGAAACTCTACGTTTTAAACTTATTTTTTTTTCAAACGAAAAGTTTACAAATTTGCGTATACAAATATACAATTACCGCGAGCTCAAATCATTTTCAAAAATACAACAAAGTACCTACCTATGAAAAAGAAATTTCGAAGTATTTTATCACAAAATCATAATGTAATATGCGAACTGCAGTAGGTGGGTATAAAAATACGACAGTATGATAAACACTACGAAAACATAATAATATTACAGTTTCGGTTATAACACGGCGGGAGGAAGTACGCGTCACTTTTTTCCCCGTTATATACGCGCATTACGAAAAAATATCGTACACACACATACAGGTATAGTAAAATAACAACAGTAATATATTGTGTATACAACATTATCATTATTGTGACGATGGAGCCTTTCGGAATTAGCATAGAAATGGAATGCGCTCGACGCGCACTTTTGATGTTCAAAATAAACATAATACACAACATATAACATTATATAATATACGCGGGAGAGGCTATATTATTATTATATAATATGCAAATGTCATATTATGTGCACGCACTCGCGTAACGATCAACGTCAGACAACGAATCGTGAAACAAAATACTATATTATATTATATATATATTGTATATTATAATATTATACCTACGTGGCTGATGGTAAGGGATGGATGGATGGTTTTTGTTTTTATTTTTTGATTTAATGCGATGCGGTTTTTCTTCGTTGTGGTGACGAGCCCCGACTGCAGCTGCGGAGGGTGACCAATGATGCACACAGGTTATAAAAACAATAGATAGGCCATTAGCCCTTATCATTCGTCCTCAAATAAATTCATGTGGGTGCTTTTTTTTTTCTGTCGTGTTATGGGCGGCTATGATATCTATTACATCAGCGGTTCTCAAACTGTGGTAAAAGACTACATGTTGGTATACGGAACTTCCGTGACGGAATGATGAAACCAGATGTTTCATCGCTAATATAAAATCTATAAATCCATGGTTCTCATTGAACATTTGTTATTTAATTCGTACCATAAAATAAATGTATTTAACTATGTAAAGTTTGTATCTTTCTATTTTTAATCATCAGTGGTACGTGACTGATTGATAATATACTTAAGTGGTACGCGAACAAAAAAAGTTTGAGAACCGCTGTATTATATGACAGGCACCTATTTATGAGACGGAAAATAATAGAAGGAGAATTTAAAAATCTTATGGAAAATATTGCGAAGGTACCGAAGATTTAACTTACTTATTGATTAGGATATAATTAGAATAGGCTTGACAAGCTTAGGTATTTTTAAAAATAATGGCGGCTTCGTCCCCTGCCCGTCTTGCCCTCTTGAAATTAAAGCGCTGCCTGTAATATTCCTGTGATATACTTGGAGTAAGTCCACAATATACGATATTGCAGTCATAACAACAAAACAATTATATTTGACACCATCGCCAATCTGACCAGAGATATAGGATAGGTTTATATTATGTATGTAGGCTGGCGAGTGCAAAACTGTGTAAACCATGTACTTACATACACAATAATAATAATTGTTTTTTTTTTTGTAGGTAAGCAAAAGTTTCGACATCACAGGTCATTTGTTTTCCATGTGATGATTGTCATTATTAAAATAACCAAAAGAAACTTATAATGAGCCATAATAAATAATGTGCTGACTACATGCTCGCACTAATGTGAGAAATGACAAAACTGCATAAATCTAGTGTATTGTGGTCCAATAGGGAGAAAATATGGTATATCTATGAAGTAGGCATCAATAAAAAAATGTGATGACAATAGTGTAATTATTCTATTCGATATGAACATTGAACATGAATAATACTATTATAGACTATGGTCTTATTGTAATTAAATGTTTAATTGGTGTCCCAAGGCCGTTTCACCTCTAGAACTGCAATACAAGGCTTCATGATTTTTTGATAAAATGAGCACGAAATCGGTATTTTCTAAAAACAAATGTCTTAGGAAAATTGATTGACATGAAAACAGAACTCAGAAGTATCTATGCCAGGTGCTTTATACAATTCTTGGAAACATAAATAAATCATATTATTTTTTATTTTTAGTGAAGCAGACACATACTTTTCCTGTAGAAGAAATGAGAGAGATTTGGTGTACCTACAGATTGACAAGGTTTTATTTTAATTTAATTTATTTTGATAAGAGCACATAATTTTATAGTCCGCTTAAAAATAAAATTGTTTGTAACCAATACATTAATTGCTTATAATTATATGTGAAATTCAATGTAAAAATATTAGGTAGTATCTTTAACAAAAAAAAGGTCCATGCAATATAATTATATTCAGAATCGACCGCCGAGGATTAGTTTTAAAAATTCAAAAATTTAATGGTGCGATTGTCCATAATAATTCGTGGTGTTGTAATGGAGACTAAAGTCTCTCAATATATGTACAATAAAATTAACCATACCATTTTTAAGTTTATTATAATGTTTTAATTAATATGCCATTTCCATACCACAGGAAGAGGACAAAAGGTGTTGTAGATTCTTATAGCATCCATGATTAGAGGAGGCCAAGTACCTCCAAAGAACATTTTAAGCGACTAGCAAGCTTCGAAAAAAAGCATTCTCTTTTCAACCTCCAATATAATCTTTTACCTAAAAATCGAATTCCGACTATAAAGAGCACTATTTATCAATTTTGAACTGAATTAGATCAGTTATGGCACGATAAAACCAAATTCCACAATTCAGTTTCAATTTTTATAAGCCATAGAAAATCTTTGATGTATAATAAGTTCGATAATCATAACAGTAACTATCCTTACATCGAGGAAATCATCCAATGATACTCCATGTGGTATGTTTCCTTTATTTCTATGGTATTGACAGACTTTTATTTTAATAATTGACGAGATAGAAGGACAACTCAATATTTCTAAGAAATTTAGTCAATATTTTCCCTGAAGAAAAATATATAATCGTATATTAGTCAATATCATATAGTACCTATTAGAGAACATTTTTTTTTGTTACAATGTGATGATATTGCTAATGGAATGGGTAAGACTGCAATTAACACATAAAAAATATATTACTAGGCTAGTCGAGCAAGTTAATGATAATTTTTAATTGAGTTTTTAGAAAACATTTTGAATAGATTAAAATTATTCTATTTTTATTTGAACTCATTTAAATTAAAGGTTAAGTTAAAAAGTTAAAATTAACTTAACTTTAAATTGTTAACTAGTTTATACTCAGGATTGTTATTATGTCGGTAGGTACTATTACCATTGATAATTTTGGTAAAAACAAATGTTTTCTTGTATCTGAATTAACGGCAGTTACAAAAACAACAAGATTAATAATTGGTAAACACTTCATTTTTATTATTTATATATTTATATAATAAGCACTAAGTGTCAAATATCAACGCAGTTTATTGTTCGTCTGTTCTTCAAAGTCAAATGAACGATTTAAACGAATTGTAACTAATAATTTTTCATCTGTAATTAAATACATTTTTTATAATATTGTTTTTGTTTATTAACCTTGCTTTCAGTTGCAGTAAACACTAGTAACATATTGTTATAATACAGATTACAGAGTTTAGATGTTATCTAAACATAAATAATCTACAATCACACAATATTTACAATTTTGTAAAAAAAATGATATTTATCGTTAGGCTTAACTAAGCCTAACGATTATGTTCTATTCATACGTAAGTAAAATATTATAATTATCAAAGTTGAATTTAATTTAAATTAAATGGTCGTTAGCTAGATTTCCATTCTACCGTAATCGTTGGTTGGTTGAAAATTGAAACTTTTAGTTTTATTTCCCCAAAAAGCCGGCTGACATTGTATAGCATTTTAATTATTTTCAATGTATAAAAATATATACATATATATAAGCAACTCATTTTCAAAACATTTAAATGAATTTAATTCTTTTTCCTATTGATATCATGAGCCTATTAACTCATTTCTACGATGAGTTGGTATTAACTTAAAAGTTAATAACAAAATCATAAATTATATAAAATATATTATACCAATATACCATTAAACATTATAATAATTTAGTAAATTAAATGTTTTCAACATATGTTAATTAATTCCGGCCGTATTATTGCTAGTAGTAAACTGTATTACTATGATAACAGCAATGAATATTTTATATCATAAAATATACTTGATGTAATATGTTGACTTGATAGGTCTCCATCTTTTTTCAGTTCATTTTTGGTACTCATTAAATTTGAATTTAACACACATACTAAAATATGAAATGACAAAACTATATAATTCTATTGTATTCTGGTACAATAGTAAAAAAAATTGCATATCTAAGTCAAATCAAAAGAATAAATTTAATGACAATCGTGTAGCTAATAATTTTTTGTTTTTTTGTAATTTTATTGGATATGAATTATACTATCATAGTTTTACTGTAATTTAATGTTTAATCAGTTTCCCAAGGCCGCTTCACCTCTAAAACTGCACCAAAACAACCATTTTCTTCTTGATTTTTGGTAAAATGAGCACGAAATCTGTATGTTCCGTAAAAAAATGTCTTGGGAAAATTGCTTGACATAAAAAGAGCAGTATCGAAGCCAGGCCCTTTATAAAAACCCTGTAAACATAAACAAACCATATTATTTTATTTTTAGTGAAACAGAGATGCTTATTATTGAATGAATTGAGATGAATTTGGTTTTGCCTACAGACTGTCAAGGTTTTCTTTTAATTTCATTGATTTTGATACAAGCATATCATTATATTATGCTCACTTAAAACATCCCTTTTCATTTTTTTGGGGGGAGATTTTTTTAACATAAAAATACTTCCTGGATGTAAAAATACATTAATTTTAAAGTTCTATATCAAATTCAATGTAAAAATGTTAGGTATCTTTAGCGAATGAACTCAAGTTTTTAACAAAAAAAAAGCACCAGGCATATAATTACATCCAGAGTCGACCACCGAGGATCAGTTTTTAAAAATTAAAAAATGTAATGGTTCAATCATCCAGAATAATTCAAGGTGTAATTAATGACACTAAAGCCTTAACAATACATGTACAATAATATCAACCACAATATTTTAATTCATATAACAATTCCATGCCTCTTTAATAGGACAAGTGGCGTTGTAGATTCCTACACCGTCCATGATTGGAGTCCAAGCATTTCCAAAGAACATTTTGAGTGCCAAGCATGCTTTGGGAAGCTTATAAAAAAAAGCATTCTCTTTCCAACCTCCAATGGAATCTTTCACCGCGAAATCGAATTCGAACTATAAAGAAAACAATTAATAAATTTTGAACTAAATCAAATCGATTATGGAACGATTAAATCAAATTCCACAATTCAGTAGGTATTTAATGTATCAGATAATTTCTTATAACATATTTCGAATTATATTATACTATATTTGAATTGTATTATATAATTATTACTCTCATGACAAAATGTAGACATATGATTTTTTTGTATTATTTTGAATATTATACCCATTATACTTATTACGTATACTTTTATATTATAAATTAAAATAAACATTAATTGGTTTTTTTTGTATTAACATTTTGATATCGATTTTATCTGTATTTCTAGGAAGCAAATAAGGGTATAAAAAAATTCGGCGCATCCGAGTTGGGTCCCGAGTATTAGGGTTAAATCGCAGGTACTACACTAGTTGGGTCCAGGATATTGTTAGGTACTATACTAGTTGGGTCCGGGATTTTTTTAGATACTACACTAGCTGGGTCCGTAATTTTTAGAGGTACTATACTAGTTGGGTCCTGGATTATTATTTAAAATATTATACAATAATATTAATACAATTTTATTAAATTGAAAAGTAAATGAAAAGTACTTATACGTATATAATAATGTGACTATTATCGGATATTTCTCTCATGGATTTTTCGAACATTCGTGTAATAATATCAGTGTTATCGGTAATATCTGATAATTTTTGACATATCTTATAATAAACTATCTGGAACAGCGATAAATGCCGGTTAAACCTCGACGAGTTATCTATCAACATAGCTTACACGGTGCACACCTATAGTTACATATTGGTAGTAAGTGTTCTGCATTCTAACCACTAGCACTATGGAAGATTCTAACGTTATGTTCAGTGAAAAGGGCAAAAAAATATATATTATAGAAGGATATAAATTTTCATTTCACAAACTTCTGAAAAATGATATTGAAAGATGGAGATGTATTCATAGATCATGTAAGTCATTTTTTAAATATAACGAAAATCAATTTATTGATCAAAATTTGACACATAATCATAATTGTGATTCCGAAAAAATATTAAATAGGCAGATATTAAATAATAATTTAAAGAGAAAAGCTCAAGAAGATATATGTGAGAAACCTTCTAAATTATTACATTCCGAAATAAAAAACAATGATATAGATACATTAACACGTTACGATTGTACACTTATTAAAAAAAATATTCATAACGCGAGAAAAAATATTCTACCAAACATTCCACAAAGTTATGACGAGGTTCACAAAGTATTGAACGATTTAAATATAAAAACTAACAGACAAGAAAATTTTTTATTAATTAATGATAATCAATATAACATAGTTATTTTTTGCACAGTCGAAAATTTAAATTTTTTAAGTAACATGAACACATTTTACGTAGATGGCACATTCAAAAGTTGCCCAAAAATATTTATGCAAATGTTTACAATACATACAATACATAATAATCATTATATTCCACTTATTTTTTGTCTACTCCCAAATAAACAAAAAGAAATTTATACTCAAACTTTTAGGATGTTATGTAATGAATGCGAAAAACTTAATTTGAAATTTTTACCTCAAACAATATATGTAGACTTTGAAGAAGCTATTCATAATTCTATTTTATCAGTATGGCCGGAAATAAATATTAAAGGGTGTAGATTCCATTTAGGACAGAGCTGGTGGCGGAAAATTCAAAATTTGGGACTAACAAACGAGTATAAAAGTGATTCTGAATTAAGTAAATATCTCAAATATTTTTTTGGCTTACCATTTTTACACCCAGAAGAGGTGGAAAATTGTTTTATTGAAGATATAATGAGTATCCAACCGAACGACAGTAAAATTCGAGAATTCACTGATTATGTTTTTGATAATTATATTAATGAAGAATCGAGATTTCCACCAAAAATTTGGTCAGAATTTAATGCCTCTACAATGCGAACCACAAATTCCTGCGAATCATTCCATTCTCATTTTAATTCTATGTTCTACACAGCACACCCAAATATTTATCAGTTCCTAGAAATTTTAAAAAACGTACAAATGGATACTTATATCAAAATGAGAAGTGTAGAAGTAATGAAAAAAAGAAACTACATTTTGCTAAAAGAAAAATTTATAGCTGACAATATGAATAAAAAAATTGCAGGAATAATCAATCGATTTGATTTTGTAAAATTAATGTCGTATAAATTTTTACCAACACACATGTGATTTTTAATATTTTTTAATTTACACCTATATGGCTATATTTATATTATGTAATATGTATTTTTATACTTTGTTTTTAACCTTTTAAATATTTTTACCAACACAAAAGTGATTTTTTTTTTTATAAAATTCTAATAACTTATATTTTAATGGAAAAGAAACAAAACAAAAAAAAAAAAACTGTAAAAAACATTTTTAACCATACCTGTGGTCTAAATAGATCATAGACAGTCCTAAGTCTGTTGAAATGGGAAGGAAAATGTTAGTATAGTGTAGTACTTAAATCCGGGACCGAACTAGTGTAGTACCTATAAAAATCCGGGACCCAACTAGTGTAGTATCTAAAAAAATCCCGGACCCAACTAGTATAGTACCTAAAATAATTCGGGACCCAACTAGTGTAGCAATTATAAATTTGGGACCCAACTCGGATGCAGCCAAAAAATTATACCGGGACACAAATAGGATATGACCCTTTATAAATATTTTTTGCGGAACGCAGCTCACCTATACTGATAAAAATGTTGGACGCAAGTAGTATGCACCGATAATAATTATTATACTTACATTGATTGAATCATCAACCTTTATCGATGTCGAAATATTTCCTTTGATTTCTGTAGTATTTACTGATTTTTTGCTTAGGTAAAAATTAAATTGAATTTTGTTATTCGACTTCACAGAATCGCAACGCGTCATTGCTAAGAAATTTAGTCGGTAATTTCCCTGAATAAAAATATAAAATCTTTTTAATTAGAATCATGTAGATAGAGATCATTCTTTTGTTACAATTTTATGTTTGCTAATAAAATATGTAAGACAATTGCCTCATCTAAAAATATCAAGTTAGGGTAAGTACTTACAACCGGCAATTTTGGCAAAAACAATGTTTTTCTTGTATCTGAATTAACAACAACTACAAAAACAATTAGATTGATTAGTAAACACTTCATTTTTGACTTAAAATGTTATAAACAAAGAAGTAGTAACGCAGTTTATTTTTCAATGGTTATTCCGAATCAAATGATGAATGGTCCAATGTTACCAAATATTTTTAAATTTGTAATTAATGTTACCATTATTTATTGACCTTGCTTTTAGCATTGTTACAGTTTTCACCTATAGGTAAATTACTATTAATTATAATATAGTATTATAATAGAGATTACTCAGAATTGATATTACCTACAAAGGTAATTAAGCATTATACATATTATTTTCAATTACTTAAAAACGATATTTTATAACCAATCTTAGTTTAAATGTACTATGTACATTATAGTCGTTAGCTAGATTTCTATTTCACTATAATCGTAATATTTCAAGTAATATAAATTATACAAAATAGTTTGCATGTTCCCTTTTACGTACTTTTACCTAAATTTGAATTTAAAACGATTAAAAAAAGTCGTGCATATTTTTTTAGTATTTTTAAATAGTTATATAAAATAATTTTGCTTTAGGATTCTGAATTAGGTATATTTTGATTTATGTTAATTTCGACTTGCAGTCCTTAAAGGTACTGTTAGTGTAGTTTCTACGATAAATAATTTATGAATAATCACGAAATAACAAGAAATGGATAAATCATTATAATACAAGTTTCAATACACAATTTCCTCAAAATTTGAATTTCTATATTCTAATGCTGGCTATCATTTTATGTTTAATTTCCAGTAGAAAAAAAAACAATGTGAAATCTTGTACTAGAAACACGTGGACACAAAAATAAACGATACACTTCATTCTAAAACCGATACATTCATCGCTCCTCTCAGAATTTGAAACTTTGAACAATTATTCTATGAGTATAGGAAAGATCAGCTATATTTGTAACACAGTCAATATTCACCTCCATGGCAAATAAAAAAACATTTATTAAAAACACTCCAGTTAGGTTCTATTTGGTTATACATTATAACACTGTATAATTGGTATAATGAACGAGAACAATATTATCTTTTTATCAATAAAATAATATTACTTTTATTTTACGAACAAAGTAATATAATGTGCTTATGACAACAAAAAGTGACAAACACTGGTGCGTGACGCTGGCACCCGGGTGTTTGAAATTCGGCTAGAAAACCACATCAGTAATTGTTACACAATTTGAACAAATTTTTAACCACAATTCCATACGTAGATTTTCTGCTGCCAGTCGTCATCTAAATATGAAGAAGTCACAAGAAGGGCAGTTTCGGGTTAATTTTTTAACTTTTGAAGGCATACCCAGCAGGGTTCAGGGTTTTATAATATTACCGCATGAGAATTTCTTCGTTTGATGATAAAATATTAATTTCTATTTCTGTCTGAATCGTCGCTCGTAATCAACGTCATCAATTACTTTCATGCTTTTAAGCTCAAATTTTTCAACTATATCCAACTTGATACCAGCATAATCCGCACTCGAAATTGGAGTTCGAAACATTTTTCTACCTTAAAATCTATACCCAGACAAAAAAAAAAACGTAAAATTCATGATCGACAAAAACTATATTAATCATATATATATATAAATATATATCATAAAACAATGAGTATTAACTATTAATAAATAAATGAATTGAATGACAACAATAACAATTATAAATGTGAATAATGTGCAATATTCTTCTGTTTACGAGAACATGAATAATACTATTATAGTATTATTTTAATTTAATGTTAAATGTTTATTATGTTACCCAAGGCCGCTTCACCTCTACAACTGCAGTCTGCAATAAAACAACCATAAACTTCATTATGTTAGGTAAAATGAGCACGAAATCTGTATGTTCCGTAAAAATATGACTTGGGAAAATTGGTTAACTTGAAAACAATTGTATCGATGGCCCTTTATAAAAACCCTGGAAACATCAATAAACGATTATTTTTTTAAAACTTTTTAGTTAACTAGAACATAATTTATAAAAAAAAATATATATCTATGATTTCAATATTTTATTTATTGATTACTTTTTATACATCATATTATATTAGGATTAAAACTAACTTACAAGCTAGGTACTAATTAACTAATTATTAGTAAGACTGAATATTATATGCTAATCGAGAAAAATTGATTGATTATTGTAGTATTGTTACTTTAACAATTTTAAGAGCGGTTTGGTTTATCTGAAAATTTAAAATTGTCTACATATTATCTTGATCATATTAATTTTGACAAGTGTAAATCATAATTTTATGGTCACGTATTCTAAAGTATTATTTGCGGATTTTAAGATTTTTTTAAACAGAGAAAATATTGTAGCTGTAACAATCCAATTTCCAATTCAATAATATATTATTTCATTTATTACTTGCAATAACTATATACTTACATTAGAGGAATGATCAAATTGTTCGATGAATGTGTCATGTTTTCCTAAATTTCGGTGGTGTTGACAGACTTTTTACTTAGGTAAAAATTAAGTTGATTTTTTTTATTCGTGGGGACAGAAGCGCAACGCATCATTGCTAAGAAATTCATTCGGCAATGCCCCGAAGAAAAACATTTAATAGTTTTTATTAATATCATATAGTAACAGCCATTAGAAAACATCATTTTGTTACATTGTCGTTATGCTGTGGTAGGTAGGTACTTACAACTGGCAATTGTGGAAAAAGAAAACGTTTACTAGTATCTGAATTAACAGCAATTACAAATAAAATAAGGTTGGTTATTAAACTCTTCATCTTTGGCTTAAACTTTAATATATTATAACCACGCAAGCATCAAACGCAATTTATTATTCTACGGTTATAGGCGTGTTACATTCAGAGTTCTAGGTTTATTGATTCAATATATCCCTTATCTTTTTTATTTTGTGATATAATAATTTTAGTAAATTATAATTAAAATTATTATTTCGACCTTGCTTTCAGTATTGTCCCATTAGATACTTTTGACAAATTATTGCCAATTACATATTTTTTGTTTTGATATTATGGTATATTTTTAGTTTAAGTACCTATTATTTTAATTTATGACGGTGAAGTTTTGGTGTTCTATACTGATTTCATTCATGAATCTGAAATTTTTTTTTTCATTACTGATACTAATTATTAGGAGCAATGCAATTTGATAACGATTAAAAAACTTAATTTTCATGTGTTTAAAACGTATGATAACATGTCTGTGGTTATTTTGAGGTGACAGACATCAAGGAAATTCAGAACCTGTAGAACCGAAATCTAAGTCTCCTGTATGGATTCTTGAAGGGATTTTTAGTCATTCTTCTCAGTCTTTGTTGAGTTGTACCGAGCAACCCATAAAGAAACTACCAGTATGGACGGTAGGCATCCGGTTTGGATAGACACAATCAGCAAAACTGAATATTTCAATTGAGAAAAATGATTAATCGATGTATATTAAACAACTTTGAGAGTTGATTTGCTTTTGTTTGTATTGTGTTTTAAGAGAGTGTAAGAAAATGTATTTGAGTGTATAATAAATTATAATAATATAGATTATAGATTAAAATGAGCATGCGCCGCCCACTCTAAAAAATTTAGAAGTTTAGACAGTTTAGAGTCTAAGTAACTAAACAGCATGCCTTTGGACGTGTCACTATTCAAAGCGCAGAAATTGACATGGAGAACGTCCTTTAAATCCATGGTCGTCGACGCAACCATTAATCGTAATTTTAGTAGAATGGACAGCTTCAGATGTTCCTTTCAGACTTCTGGGAGAGATTTCAGAGATTCTTCTAAGCTTTTGTTGCGATAGCAGAATTATAAAGCGATATCGAATGAAAAAACTCGTTCTGATGGACATACTTATAGACAGTCAGTCAGATAAAACGGGAGGGAAGCAAAACCAAAAAGAGATATAACAGGTGTATGTAAAATGCGGTTACTGACGACTTTGACAGCCAAAATAGACTTTATAAAAAACAATTTGTTTAATATTTTATGTTTAATTGTTGAATGTATAAAAACAATTCAATTTTGATAGCTGATAACAAAATAAAAGTAAACAAAATGATTTTAATAAGTTTGTACAGCCCAACTAAAATATGCTTGGGACAGAATCACTACAGATGATAATATTATGTCAAAAGTATAAAACATAAATAATGAAACATGAAAAACGTCATATTGAGTATTGTATCATAATCAATAATTGTACATACGTGGAGTAACATGAAAATAAATACAAAAACATCAAATATTTCAATGTTATTAATTAGGTGCACGGACATGGATAATATTAAATGATATTGTTACTGATTAATTGTAATTTAATTCTTAATTATCAGTTTCCCACGGTCGCTTGATCTCTATAACAATCATAAAACAGCCGTAGACTTCATTGTTTTTGGTATAATAAAAACGAAATCTATATGTTCCATAAAAAAATGTTTTGGGAAAATTGGAAATGTTGAATAGTTCAGAATCCACTCCTTTCATTTTATAAAAACCCTAGAAACATAAACCATATATTTTCATATTTACATTACAAGTCATAAAATATATACCTATTACGAGTATGCATTATCATGAGCAATTAGAAACCAACTTAACTAATATTAAATATAATATTTAAAACTTTCAGCAACATACTATTACCCACCACAATGAGAATGGTTTTCATAGCTCAGTCAATTTATTCATATGGTATTGGGAGTTGGAGTGGTGCCTGCAATATACACTTAAATTCACTTGAAACCACTATAAATTCTCTCATTAAAATATCTTTTAAAAAACCCTTTATGATGAGCAATGTATTGTTATATAAAGAATGTGACCCGTTAAATTTAACTCAATTATATGCACGACATATATTACCGAATATGTTTTTCCTTGATATTCAACAATTTGAATTTAAACATGAACATTGTACAAGACTACAAGAGTGAAACAAACCAATATGTATTTAATTCCTATGTGTAGAACGGAATTTGAAAAAAGAAACCCATTGAATTCTGGAATTAAAATGGCAATGGATTTAAATATTGACGTTGGTTTGTTAAAAATCTTTAGATTATATAATGTGTTAATTTAATTATTTAGTAAATGTACTGGATATTTTTAAGAACCTTGTCTCCACGACAAGCCTCGCTTACGGAGTCATTCATTTATGTATAATGCCATATTATAATAAGTATAAATATTTGTATAAATTTACATGTAAGTATACATTTCTATTTTTAAATGAAAATAAATAAATAAATAAGATAAATATTGGAAAAATATAGTGATACATGAATTTAGTGAAGGTAGGTTAGAAGATATATTTTACTGTTCGTATTAATTTTAGAGAGGTTTGTATTATCTTAAAATAGTCAAAATTATATTTTAATAAATGTGCCAGGTATGCTCACATTTTGACCAGTATTTTTCTGTTTTTCTTTTTTGAGTTTTTTACTATACTAAGTTGTTCATTATAACAAAATACATATTTTGCAAAGTTTGGTTTCTAATTAATTGCAAAAAAAAGACTATATTTTTAACGAAAAAAAGCAAAAGTCAATGTTTTAGAATTCTAAACTAAGACATATTAGTTTTAAAAATGCCAAACAATTCTTTAGGGCTATTATTAATTTTTAGTAATTTAATTACAAATAAGTTAATCGTCAATAGTAACGATGAGTAATCTATAATATCTATAATACATGCACGCTATAAATTCATTAATGGGGGACGAGGTGACCGAGTGGTCTGACTCTTCCGCTGCGACGCAGCCGGTCGCGGTTCGATCCTCGGCCACCGGGCGGCATTTTTCTCCGGACAAGTCGCGGTGACCGGAGAGCAAGTGCTGCCATCCCCCACCCCCGGGGCATGGCAGAAACCTACGGGTGCCCCATTCGAAATTCTGCCAAAACAAAACACACACGTGTTCCCCCTACCGTTCCAAAAAAACCTACAAACCATCAATACAAGAACCTTCAGTACCTACTAATAGCTAATGGCCACAGTTGCCGGGCTCAGGATCAATTAAAAAAAAAAAAAAAAAATTCATTAATTATAATATTTTAACGTAAAAAATATTTTTTTAATGTATATAACAATTTCATACCGCGGGGATAGGACAAGTGGCGTTCAAGAATCCTAGATTATCCATTATCGGAGTCCAAGCATTTCCGAAAAACATTTTGAGTGACGAACAAGATTTGGTTGACTTATGTACATGAGCATTCTCCTTCCAATCACCAGTTGAATCTTTTATCGCCAAATTGAATTCCAACTATTAATTTATCAAATTGTTTAATTGAACCAAAATCGGGTTGACTAGCATAATATGAGTACAACAAAATGCAACAACTTTTCAGTCACCAATCGTTGTATTCGCTATTCAAATTATTTTTATAAGGTACATAATAATATAATCTCAAATTTATAATTTGTTCAATAATAAATTATACCTACACCATATTATATCATACTCAATTTAATAATTTTAACAACTACACTTATATCAATAGGAAATATAACCGTGAATAACAATTATAACTATACTTACATTAAGAGAATCATCTACTGGAATTAAATTGGTTATGTTTCCTTTGATTTCTGCGATGATGGCAGACTTTTTGCTTAGGTACAAATCAAATAGAATTTTGTTCTTTGACTGGATAGAAATACAACGGGGTATAATTGATATGAAATTTAGTCGGTATTTACCCTAAAGAAAAATATAAAATCATTTTAAGCAGTATCCTATAAGGTATTAGAGAACATTTTTTCATTACAATGGGATGTTTGATATATTTACATAAATATACCAGATTCGGTACTTACAAGTGGTAATTGTGGTAAAAGCAAATTTATCCTTGTACCCGAATTAACAACAATTATGAAAAATACGAGACTGATTAGTAAGCAGCACTTCATGTTTCGTCTACTATAGTGTCTATATTATAACCATACAAATATCAATGCAGTTTGTTGTTCTACATTTATTCGGAGGCAAATGATTTTTGGTCCAATGGTAATTACCTAATATTTTGAATCGATCAAATAATAATTTGTATGTATATTATTATTATTTGTTGTCCTTGCTTTTAATACTGTTGTAGTAGATAATTTATGCATACCCATCACATATTTTCAATTTTTTAGATGTGATATTTAATTTTAGGTACCTACCTATGATTAAAATTCTGCATGACTATTAAATTGCTTGTGTTGATATATTTGTTTCATTAGAATACAATCATACAAATCTACCATTTATCTTAAATTACAGGGTCAATGAGTGTTATCATGTTTAATGTACCTTCATGTCAAATATTTTAATTTCCTGTTCCAAATGTTAAAAACTTACAAATTAATTTTTGCGTACGTTGGAAGCAATGCAAACAACCACTTTTCGACCTCTTCTTCCTCTTAGAACTATAATTTGAATTCATGACTTCCGTCATTTGTTGAGTTCAAATTTAAAATTTGTTCAACAAGTGAGATGTCTACGGGAACATAATTATATACCTAACTGATATTTGTATAGTAAGATACTTATAGATTTTCGGGACACTTAAAAAAAAATGTATTTGCTTAAAACGTATTGGAAAGTAGATTAACTGAAAAATAAAATGAATGAAGAACGGTATGTAGGGCGCGCGCAAATTGCGTACCATGTTAGAAATCACAATTGTTAAACAACTAGGGAGAGTTTACACATTTTCAATTTCCTTCGGGTAAACATAATGTCGACTCGGGAAAGCTTATATATTTCCCTCAGGTAAACATAATATTGACCCAGAACAACCATGCCGTTCTGGACTTACTAATAATGTCAAGTATTAAGTATATCTTTAGATATGACTAAACTAATCAAAAGTAACAGTCAATTACAATTTTTTGATTTTATGAAGTAATTGCGAACACTAAGGTTCAATTATAATAGAATACTGTAGTTACTTATTTATTGGGAAGTCCTTGTAGTTCACGTGCATGAAGTTAACCCCCCGACTTTGTCACAGAGACTCCAAACTAATGGCAATATTTAGCATTCTTCTAGCAACTTTTATCAAGCAACGTTAAAAATGTGCAACCTACGACTTCGTAACCAATATACCATTAAATAATACATTTTTATGGAGTTGTAATGTAACTAGTACCTATACTAAATTATCGTCCCACCTGTCTGCTTTCTATTATACACAAAATGTTCAAATCTGATTCTCAGGTTGACGCTATTTACATAGACCCTAGTGTCACCATTTCCAAAGTTTTAGGACAACTTGGGTAGGGTAACTTAGTAACTTTGAAAGCTGTTACCGGCCACTCGGGTTAATTGCAAATTTCAAAAATACACTTGCAAGTATTCGCTCATCATTAATTTTGCTGTAAGAGTGTTTCCCTTAGATGCAGTAACATTCATTGGTAAAAGTAGTAAAAAAACAAGTTTCAAATTATTTTAAGTAGGTTGAAATTAGTTGCTAATATGTTGCTAAATAAGATCACAAGTCCGGAGTCGGTGGGACAACGTCGGGGGCTAACTTCATGCAACTCTTATAATCATTGTATCGATCATACAATTTACCAAAAAAAACTGAACGAAAATCATTAAATTTTTAGTATTAGCCATTATGGATAATGTTACTAAGTACCCACATAAAAATTAAAATGTGCTTATGAATTAATAATCAGGTTTAATAATTATTCAATTATAGGTAGGAAATTCTGAAATAGTGCTACCCTTATTTTAAGATAAGAGTGAGATGCGATTCATATAATGTCCCCGCGGTTAACGCGACGTCCTTATTAATCGGATATTATGAAAACATTAACGACGATTGACGTGTATAACACTAGTCGCTATTTTTAAATATTTTAAATAATCTAGACGGTCGGAACAAAAACGGCATACCTATAACTTGACACGTGTTTGACGAGCATTTTGAGCGTTTCCAGTGACATGATGTCTCGGCGAGCGAAGAGTCAAAGGGTTACATCATCATCATAATATAAAAGTGAATATATGCGTATATCGTTCGTGAGTTCTATGACGTGGCGTCGGCTTCGGCGGCAACACAAACACATAAGACTGCAGCAATGGGACGTAAATACAAATCATTTTGTAATAATAATAATATATTGTTATGCAGCCGAGTGACGACAAAGGAGAACGGAATGTGACGAAAGGACTCGAAGACACGCGCTGCCGGAAGTATTATAATGTATAATTATCTCGGCATAATAACATTATAGCTGTGATGAATATTATACGAAAAAATATTTTAGTAAAATAGAAACGTCACTGTCGCGCCACGTATGACATCACATCAAGCTTGTTTAGTGAACATATATAATTTTACATAACATAAGTATTACATAAATATTGTCACTCTTGTAACTCTTCCAGCTGCTATACAAACACGATAATCGTCCTAACTAGGCTACACGGTTTAATATATTTTTTAGTGGCTCGTACAACAGCTATCTCGTCACTGCAATCGACGAAACTTGATATGATAACATATTATATGATAGCCAACAGGTGTATACAATTTTATTGGATTTTATTATTTTAATCGATATGATTTGATTGGTATTTTTCAGCAGCGGTAGGTTAGGTATGCTCTTCTCGTTAATATTCAACTACTTTCGTTGGCTACATAATGCATTCCAACTGTATATACATATAGCAAATACTAAATTATTAACAGTGTTGCTAATATTGTACAAAATAATTTCAATGTATATTTTGATTTCACTGAGCTCAAATTATAATGAAATATATTAATATATTATGACTTTAGGTATTTCAAGTGCGATCCGTATAATATGAAATTAGGTAGGTATCAATTGATCAATACAATAAACTTATATAATTATATTAGAGTAAAATTAATACATTTCAGATTCATGAATCATTCCGGTACCTATCGAGCACTTTAATTGTCATGAACTGGTACCTATTGTCGTACACGCCGATCGCTTCCGACGTACCTACACTATTATAAACACGCACAATAATTAAAATATAACACCATTATATAACCGTTTTGTCTACCAGTGACGCAGTGACCGCATCAAGCGATCACCCCTGAAGGACCCTCATTTGTCTACGTCCATCACTTATTACAGCTTAAACTAGTTTCTATTTGGCAACATCTGTCAAGACTTACTGACTAAGACTTAATACTTCATTTTATTACACATCACATACATTAACCTGGTTAGTAATTTGAATAATATTCATAAAGCTTATGTGTACCTATATATTATTGTGCTTATAACACTGTACAATTATTAGCTTAATATTATCTAAAAAAAAACCAAAAAATTTGACATGGTTATTAATAGACTTATCATCTTCATCAAAAATACTTGACTCGAGGTCAGATAAATAATAATAATATAGATACAAACTATAGTTAAAAGTTCAGGTACCATTGGGCCAAAATTGATTTGACTCTGAATAACAGTAGAACAACAAACTGCGTTGACGCTCATTTGGTTATAATATTTTGGACAAAAGGACAAAGATGAAGTGTTTACTAATCAACATTGTTGTTTTTGTAACTACAGTTAATTCAGATACAAGTAAAAGTTTGTTTTTACCACAATTGCCGGTTGTAAGTACTTACCTCATTATAATATATAATATATATATTATATTTTTTAATCTTGTCAATTGTCTTGCTCATCCCATTAGAAATCATCAAATTCTCTCAAAAGAATGTTCACTACGTTCTCTTATATTATATTATAAACTGTACAAAGTAAAATTTCACAGTAACTTTCTAAATAACAGGAAAAATAATCGAGAAAAACGGGGAATTTTTACTCAATACCTACCAGTTTCCAAAAATATCAGTATTGTATTTTCTTGTGGAACTCAAAAACTAATAACAGAAAAAGTAGATAAATACTTGGGACTTTTCTTGTACTATCATTTTCTGTTAATTATAAAAATGTAAAAATATTTTGATTATTTTTGATCTATTTAAAGATTTAAGTTTTAAATTCTGAGCAGAGCAATGAATGTACTGATTTCACAATGATGTATACATTTCTTATTCTGTATACATTTTTCTATTAGAAATAATACTTTGATTTTCAACGCCAGCATATTTACTGATAGGAAAGTGAATCTAAAGTTAGGCCTTTTGAGAGTTGAAAATTGAAAATTCAAGGTGGTTTTCAAAAGCGTCTGCAAAAACAAAACAAAATAGGGAACTTTTCCCAAAATCAGTTTTCGACCAAATCGATTTGGTTTTTTTTTGTACTTAACTTAAAAACGAATACCGTAGAGATTAGAATTTTCAATACGCCATCCATTTTTTAAAAATATTTTTAATTTTTCGAGCTATTTATAGGTTTGGTTAACATAAAATTCAATTTTTAATAAATTCTTGCCGATCAAAAATATGTTTCGTTGTATTTTACGAGTAATTACATTAAGCCTATATTATATTTTACTGATTATAAAATGTTTATATTTTTTTACAGGGTAAATACCGAATAAATTACTTAGGAATGATGCGTTGTGTTTCTGGCAGGTCAAATGAAAAAATTCAATTTAATTTGTACCTGAGCAAAAAGTCTACCAACACCACAGAAATTAAAGGAAACATTACAATTTACGTTCCAATAGATGATTCACTTAATGTACGTTTAGATAATATTGTTTGATGATACTCTAGATGTATTGTTATTTTTATTATTAAATGGTATTTTTTATCTTAGACACACCTAACTAAGTTCAGTTGTTATTGTTATTATTGTATTAAATAATATACAACTTATGATTGAACGAATTATATATTTGATTTTGTATGGTTCATAAAAAATATTTGAATGCCTAACTGCCCTAACTCATAAACTTTCGAACGAAATAAATTAATTGTTTTCTTTATAGTTTGAAGTCAATATGGCGGTAAAAGATTCTATTGGTGGTTGGAAGGAGAACGCTTTTTTTTATAAGTCACCCAAAGCTTGCTCTACACTAAGAAAGTACGTCGGAGATGCTTGGATTCCATTATTACAAAGTGCAGGTGTCAACAACACCAATTGCCCTTTTCAAGTGGTACGGAAGTGTAAAAAAAAATATTGCAAACATTAAAATAGTCTGATCTTTGGTCTTATAACGTATAATGTATTGCAGTTATCTCGTTAAGATTAAGATAAAAACATATTTCTAATTGAATTACAATTCTATTATAGACTTGGCAGAAGATTTTTAAACTGATCCGATGCTTCCCGCTAAAACTATAATTATTTACATTAGAGTGTGGTTTTTTCCCTAATACTTGTCATTCCGTTCAGATGCGAAACCAATACGCTTACACTTTGAATTCGAATTGGAACTTAATAATACTGAATATACTATATTGTCATCTACAACGGGGAAGTCTATTTTTGAAAATAATAAATCCCGAAATAAAGACAAAAAAATATCTTTTAAAGTTTGAGCATTTAATAAACATTCAAAAAAAAAAAATTCATTTTAAAATCTTGATAATTTTAGGCAAAACAAACTCCAGTTAAAATTAGTTTTATTTTTGCTACCTATCAATGCTATTATTAATATTATTTCTTCTCTGTCATAATACAGTCATGCCTATACCACACTCATATATTTTTTTCCCCCAATTGTATGTTTATATTAGAAAATTTGTACCTAATTTCTAATCCTACTTCATAGTGTACAATATATTTATGATTCAAACTGTAAATAAAGAAGGAAAATTATGGTTTATGTTTCCAGGGGTATTATGAATCTACTGGCATAGATACTGATGTTTTCAATGCGGCCAATTTTCCAAAGACATTTTTTTATGGAACTTACCGACTTCGTTTTTTTTGTACCAAAAACAATGAAGTATATGGTTGTTTTACTGTAGTTTTAGAGATAAAGCGGCCATGGGAAACTAATTGACCATTAAATTACAATAAAACAGTACCTGACAACATTATTTAAATTATCTTTCTTCACACACATTATTAGTAAGATTTTTTACAATGTTTTCAAGTGGTAAAATACTTAACTTGATTTATATATATTTTTTTATTTGTATTATATATTTATAATGTAAAGCTATAACTATTGCACATGCATTTGTTTTTAGACATTAAACGATTAAACATAAAATATAAAATATACATGCTGTGTTATTGAAAATTTAACATATTGTATTGGACCAGGTGGCTGCCATTAGTTATGTTTGGCCTTTCGTCACTGACCCATTATTTTCACTGGCCCACCATACCTACGAATAGCTAGGATTGCGCCTTTTTACATGATTTACATGAAAAAAAAAACAAAAAATGAATTAATATTTTAAAGTTACAGGTTAGGCTGACATTAAACATACACTATAGGCTTGTTAATTTTTTTTCATTCGACCTACCTACTGTGTATGTATTAAAAAACTGTTTTTGCTAATATTAAGCGAAATAATGATAGCCACTTAAAAGTTTATTTTATTGAGTACAAAAAAATCCAAATGTATAGAAATATATGAACTGTGTAGGTTTCCGTGAGCTGTAAATTAATATGTATGAAGTTTTGGTATATCAGGGATGACCAATATAAATATTTTGCAATTAAATTTGGTATAAATGAATTAATATTTTACTTAAACAGTTATATTAAGAAAAATAAATTTCAGCCTCGTGAATAATACACAAGGTTTTTAATAATTGTCAAGTATAGTTATAGTACAGTATAGTTATTATTAGTTATACTAAAAATTAAAATAATATTTATTAAATATGAAAATATGTTGTGGATAATAATATTCAATTTATCTACTGCATCAATACTGAAATCAAGGTCAATAAATAAAAATACTATACAATCAAATTATTATTTAAGTAATTAAAAAATAATAGGTAGGTACCATTGGACCGAAATTTAAATTACTCCGAATAACAGGGAAACAACAATATGCGTATGGTCATGTTTTGTAATAATATATTTTAGAAAAAATATGAAGTGTTTACTAATCAATATTATTGACTTTGTAACTATTGTTAATTCATTCAGATACAAGTGAAAGTTCATTTTAGTACCTACCTCATTATAATGAATATAGCAACCATCACGTTGCAACAAAATATTGTTTTCTAATACTTTAGGACTTAAGGAGATACCTACTGCTCAAAACGAATTCATATTATTCTTCAGTTTGAACTACCATCTTAACTTCCTAGAAGTGCTAGATTGTGGCTCTACCCAGTTAATTAACAACATTTCATTTCATTTTTACCTGAGCAAAATGTCTGCCAACGCCACAGAAATTAAAGGAAACATAACCAATTTTGTACCAATGGATGATACTCTTAATGTAAGTAATTATTGTAGGTACATAGTTATAATTGTTTTCACGTTTTATATTTTCTTTGATATACGTGGTTAGTTATAATAGTTATTAAATTATGTATAATTACGTTTTATTATTAGATAAATTATAAAAGTTAGATTTTATATGGTTCACAAAAGTAATTTGAGTTCCTAATACAATAACTTAATGACTAATGTATACCTTGTGTCCTTAATAAATTATTGAGCTTTGACATAGAATTACGGTGGTCGACTAAATTTTAATCTATTTATGTAATTTTATATATATTTATAGTTGAAATTCAATTTGACGATAAAAGATTCAATTGGTGGTTGGAAGGAGAAATCGCATACATATATATATATAATATATAGGTTATACAAAGCTTGCTCGACGCTCATAATGCTTGGACTCCAATAATGGGTGGTCTATGAGTAAGCAACGCCACTTGTCCTCTTCCTGCAGTGGTATGGTAATATTACATCAATTTTAAAAGATATTCTAAACACAGTATAGTCGACGATTTTATAGCATATGACGTTCATATAGGACTTGTTACTATTTGAATATTAACTTATTTGTGATTAAATGACTACAAAAATAATGACACTACCAATTATACATTTTTTTTTAAATTTCAAAACTGACCTCTGAGGCTTCTACTCAGCTGTTTTTAAACCGACTTATTCTATTTTCCGTTACAAATATTAAATCACCATAGAATTAATTATAAATGAAACTTTGTAAGATTTGTATTATTAAATTGAAGAAGTTCTTTCTAATATTTCCCGTTATAATCTATTATATACAATGATGTGTGTCTTAAACTTGCTTATGTGTATATTTTAAGGGAACGTCTGAACGTAACACTGGAATTTGTTGTCTCTGTCCAAAAAGTGCGCACCATAGCAGATTTACGTTCAGCGGATCAAGTATAGCTTTGGTAATTAAAAAATTAGAACGAATCGAGGAACAATATCATTCAAAAACTGGCAAACTCAGAACGGGGAGCGGATACTAACATCCCTAGAATATCAGTATTTCAGAACTCCTACTTTTTGTTCCAGATACTCTTTCCGTTTCCGCATTCCTTTTAGCTGCTGTAATTATTTATCTAATCCCCCTAAGCTGGACCCTCAATTCTTTAGTACTTCGTGTAATTATTCTCTGTTCATTCTTAAATATATGTAATTTTTTTCTTAATTATTATTTAATACAAAACAATGTAATTGGACTCGTTCTGTATTTAATATAAATAAATAAATATCAACAGTAGCACTTACATGATCGGTGGCAGATTATCGCTCACCTGTATTTCTACAAAGTGCTCATACAAACAAAGTAGATACTTCACCCAACTCTGCTATGAAAATTATTACTGAAGCGGTTAAATCTACTTCCACGGAATGGCTGCGTGTATTTAGTAACTTAAGTCCACCCCATTTACATCGATGAAACTCACTAGTACGGAAGAGAACCAAATGCGTTTCGAACGCCCTGTTTTCAATACACAATGATATAAAATTAAAATACTGTTCCTAACGTAAGAGTAAAATCAAGGAAACCTACTGGAGGCTTCGTCGAAAATAAATCTCGAAAAAGTGCAATGTACCTAAAAACGAAATAGAATAACTAATGGAAAGACATAAATCCTGACAAGTCGACCTAATTCATAACCCAACGGAAGGAGTACTGTTGCCTGACCTTCCGAGAAGGGATTGAGTAATACTGAATAGACTTTCAACGGGTCACAGAAGGACAGGATACATACTCCACAAATGGGGATCTAACCAGGATGTGACTGTGGACACGAAAAGCAAGCTGCTACACACATTACTGAATGTAATATTCGACGATTCCAAGGAGACATGAAATAATTATATCGAGCCATAACAGACGTAGTATCATTGTTGAATTCTTTGGACATACAAATTTAAAATAAGATTAATTTAAAACACAAACCCATTACTAGTCAACATATTACCTATATTATCATCTGTTACCGTTTATAATTTATTTACTCACTTCACTTATTTACTTATGTTATGTTTAAACTTAACGAAATACAAATAATAACAGTAATAATTTCATTATGAAACATATCGGAGTACTGTAAGTCACTCATATTAATATGATGATTTAATACAATAGTATGCAATATTATCGGTTTTTTTTTAGGTCCATAAGATCTTTGATAAAAAAAACTTTTATCACATTCTAATCTAATCATTCAATGGCCAATAAATTCTATACATCGTTCAGTATCGTTTGATTGCAATAATTGTTCTACAGTTGAAGTAGCCATTTATTGTATGTGTGAAATTAATTTTATTTGGATGTATGTTATTTGACATTAGTAAATATGGTTTACCTAATTCATCTATAATTGTTATGTAATATTTAATGTTCATATCTCATACTGCTTGCAATGGTATAGATACACAAATAGTGCAAAACAGTGCAAAACAGTGAATATTTCTATTCTTTCATTATTATTATTCATATTCTATTCATAAACACATTATAAGAAATGCTGTACACTTACCTATCTTTGGTTTGTACAGTGTTTTAGTTATTATAAAGAGATATTTTGTTTTTATAAACCATTTCATTAAATATATCACCATAGTTATTTAACCTTAAAATTAAGACAGTGGGAGAACTTATAACAAATAATGTAAAACTGCACAAAATAACAAAACTATATAAATAAATTATATAACAAATATTATACATCTAAATTATTTAGAATATAATAATTGTATGAAAACCTGGAACATATTTTTAAAAGTATTCAGACTTCATATAAAAAATTACTCACAAAAAACAAAAAACTTTACTCTTGAGTACATTCATTGATATTTTAAAAAAACATACACAAATTATAAATGACAGTTAACTAACTGTTAGGTAGTTCGTCAGCTGGTATAATAACATTATAACAAGATAATAAATATACAGACAACAAATATTTGTGCATTGTATATTGTAGGTTGATATCTACTTAACACGAATGACATTAAATAAAATTATTAGTAGGGCCGAGGACTTATAGTTTTTTCATACTTGTCTAGATAAACTTGTCTAATAGCGTAAGCAGCACCACATTCATTATATCATACAAAACCAAAATACCTTCCTTTTTATATTGTGGAGTTATAGTGTATGATAAAAAATAATGAACATTAAACTATACCTACGAGTGGCCACTATTTCACATGAAATTTTACCAGAAAAAATAAACACTTGCACGCCGAGTGAAAAATGCTAATCTTTTCATAAATTCCAATTTTTTTTAATGGAGCATACACATTTTGGCATTTTCATACCAGAGACAACGATATGGGTTTTTTTATTATAGATTTAGAGAAAACGCGGCTATGGAAAGATTAAAATTGAACATTAAACTACCATAAAATAGTAACAACATAAATTATTATTATCTATGTCTAATGTCAATGCGCAATTGCTACATTGGAAATATTTGCAGTCTTAGTTTCTTAAAATTTATTTTTTGTTATCACACCATACACATACATGACAATTGTATAATCTATTTTTTTCTTTCTTATGTGATATATATGTGACTTATAAAGTTTTGTTATGTTATGTTATTTGTTTATGACGTAATATTGTACTACGAAGTACACATACAGTTGATTTTATACATTAAACAATGAAATAAAAAATATTGAATTTCTTTTTTTTCAACTAAACATATTGTATTGATCCTGGCGAATTCAAAGGAAAACGTATCGTCGATAGCGTATTAGTATATTACCACCTATTACCAACGTCCATTAAGTGCTTTTTTTGTTTGTCCTTCTCCTCCTTCCTTTTTTATACCTGTGTGTTTGCGTGACCTTAGGTTCACTTAGTACCACTTTTGCAAGTGTTTTTAGGCTCTTTATTGGGCGCAACGCAACAAATCCTTAAAATAATCTCTGAAATTCCTTCCAGAAGCCTGACAGAGACTTGGACGCAGCGATTGCTCTTCATAGGGTCCGTTGACGTCGTCGAGTTGATGCATCACAGAGTTGAAGAATTTGTCTTTACCTGTTTTTGCGGCAGAAGTCACTGGAAATTAAAATATATGACAGGTAAAAGTTTGTCTTCTACACAATTCCCGGTTTCAACTTCATACCTTATTTACTCTTAAAATTTTCATTTTTTTCTTTGTTAATAATGTATGAGATTTTCATGTAGATTGTTTCAGATTTCCGTGTTTCGATTGATTACAAAATCATTTCCAGCTGCTGTTGCCCATCTCTGTATATGAACACGTTTAAACATTTATGACATTTAATATTTCAAATAATATTTAGGACATTTAGGTAATAAAACATTAAGGTTAGTGCAAATTTCGGTCATCTTGTTCGACTGTATAAAATACGGGCCTTTGTGTAAAGAACCTATATATAAATAGTGGTGTCTGTATGCACACCGCGATAATGTAGTCTTTCAATGTCTTTTTATTTATTTTTTTTTTACATATTATACTCATAATAACAATCGGGTACCATAAACTGGTATCGCGAAGTCGGCCGAACACAAAAGAACCGAAATATAATACGCTTTTCTGAATGACTCCGTGGATGACGAAGTGATGTATCTCTCTGCGTGTACCTACCTACATTATACTGGGAATGGGGGTGTACGTATATTATACGATTGCCTTTATTTACGGTTCAAAATTGTCAGCGGGTTATTATTATGGCTACTATTTTTTTTTCTCCACGATATTTAATGTAACGATCGGAATGCGCGTTACCCGAAATTCGGGGAGGTACATAATATATCCCCATTTGTCAAAATTCGAATGCGTTGTATCGCGTGCATTATACATTTTTACGCCACACGAGTAGTATACACGCATACAGAACTGTCGTACGTGTATATAAATTGTATGCGGACCTCACGAAAATTCTCGAAAACTGTAACACAACTTCGAAATGAAACACGTTTTTGATTTTATTATATTATTGTTATTGTTATGATGATATAATATATATATGTACTCCTATAATTCACCGATCGTATAATATTATCACCATTATTGCGTTGTGTTTATGTAGCGCGGCGGCAATATTGATTTGACCACTGCACGGCGTGTGTCCGTTTGCCATGTACTTAAAGTAACGTATATAATAACTCGCCCTCATACAACCTGCATGCCCACGACAATGATAATTATATACGTATGCCAGGTATGAGCGTTACTATGTATAGGTAATATAAAAATATATACTAAAATATTTTTTTTTTTTACATTTATGTGCTATCGAGGGTGTCCTGTACTGGCATATCGGACAGAAGATCAGCTAGGTCTAATATCGTATATGTATGTCGTATTGTGTACCGAATCCTATATAGAATATAATAAACGCACAAACATTTTGCAGGGTGATTTTATACAGGGCGTTTCTGATGAATTTATTTAAACTCTGATTTTTGTACGTTTTAAATAATATGTGCTCAAAGGACATTTTTTTTTAATTCCTGAAATTTTTTTGTACTCTAGGAGTATTATGTATGCCTATCGACATATTTCTGTTTATACTTTATACTTCTGAGAACCCCCATCTTTACGGTAAATCAATTAGAGCAGGGGTGGCCAACCGGTCGATCGCGAGATGAATTCAAGTCGATCGCGACACCCTTTCGCATTTTCTTAAATTTTTGAACAATTTGTGTATCTTTGTATATCCCACGAATATAAAAATTAGATTTAGAAAAAGACAATAAATAACTATGAAAAACAAGACTATACACTGATATCTATTAACTATCGTATTATAGGATGGATAGCCCGCATTACTTCCTATTAATGGCCTTTATCGCGTTCGTATAAACTGATAATTTGTAATCAAATATATTAAAATACGTGTAGTGTTATAGTGTTAAACTGCGAATTTATATTGTAATTAAAAAGTAATAAAATAAGTGTAACACGCCTGTACATATAATATATTTTTTGTTTATTGACAACCTTTTTTTTTTTTTGTCGATCGCAGGTCTATCAAAGTTGGACACCCCTGAGTTCAACGTGTTTGAAAATGTTGATTTATGTGGCCCCAGCTAGGTTACCTAATTCAAAATTCGAACGATTGGTTTCCCAGGCACATTACAATTTTTACGCTAAGGACAATAATCCTTAAAAATGGTTTTTCTAAAAAAAAATGTAAGTATAGGTACACGCAAAAAAACATAGGCTGGTCCACGGTATATTTCTTCATTCGGTATAGTTCAATGTTATTTTATTAATGAATAAGGTCTTGAGTATATCAATTACCATATCATATGTGTACGATTATCATTTGATTATATTAACATATATATATGTTACCGTCAATGATGTAAATTAAGGAATTAATGTTAATGACTAGTCAAATAACGATATTTCCGATCAAATTAGGCAGTATACGATATTGACTAGGAAATATCGTTAATGTCTGTTATTATCAGTCAGTGATGTATTTAGAAATATTTCCTAGGTAATGATGATAACTCCGGGCTTTTTCAGGCGTGATGGGTAAAAATATAAAATCATTTATTTGTTGGTTTGATTAGAAATGTTCTTGTGTTGTAAAATTCTAGACGATTATCATGTAGGTACGGAGTATGGTATGCTAAAACATAGGATCACTAGATCACAACTGGTTCCGTGTCCTGAAAATATATTAAACTATGAAAAGACAATCGCGACTGCCGGAGTAAAAAAAATTACCGTTCGTGAGGCTGCTGGATACGGAATCGCGGGATCACAAGGCTATACTAGATGTATTTGTAAAGCAGGATGCAAAACTAATAGATATGCTTGTAAAAAAACAAATGTTTTATGCAATTCAAAGTGTCACAGTACAACAAATTGCAAAAATAAATAATTATGTATAATTTATCTTGTATTTATAAATTTCTTACTTAAAATAAATATTTCGTTAAACATAATTATCAACATCGTCTATCAGTATTAAACATTAAGGTAAGTTTCTAGACTTCTAGTCATAGTTCTAAATGTGTTTACAAGATATTTGAGTTTTACAACATTGCCTATATTGTCTGTTAATGCCTAGGCATTGACAATATCGACTACTAATGTTAGGAATTTATAATATTGGCTAGTCATTTACGTTATGAACTAATTTACATCATTGACGGTAACATACATAAATATATCAAACATAATAAAATTTTAGCATTAAATCAGATGTGTACCAGTCAACAGAAACGGTCGAACTCGTTTTGAATATTCGATTGCCTATCTTTTTTTTTAATTTGTAATATTATTATGATCATGTGCGTGTATGTTATTATTATTGTTTACTGACCTCGCTTTCACTATTGTTACTTCGGATGTATAGCTATAACATGTAGTATAGATATTATGTTTTGGTACAGTTTTATTGAAAATGATTACGAATTTAATATTTTCATTTTTCAATTTTGTAAAAAATTAAGTTAATTATTAGGTATGATTTTAATTTATGACAATGAAGTGCACCGTGTTCACTAATATTGTTTATGACGTACATTGTTTACCTTCTGATACAGGTAGTAATAATACAAGCATTTACAACAAATATAATAAAAAAATTAACTGCCGTATGACCTGGACTACGATATATTTTCTATGAATACGATACATATGTACAACAAGAGTCACACCTGAACGTTACGATCGACAACATTTGATATGATAACACGATATCCGATAGGTTACTAATCGGAGTCTTTTCCGTAAGATGATATGTACCTCCTAATCGCTTTATTCGATTGCAATTATCCGACTTGTTTATGTATTTTTTCAAATTGCATTCGATAGAATATATAATCAAACAAAATATATGCAGTTATCAATAATTCTGTTACAAAAAACTCCCACATTTCCACACCCATCATAAAATAAAAAACCAAAACACTTACCTTCTTTTGTGAGTAGGTATAATGTCTTATATATATATAAAAAAAAAACAATGGCTCCGATTGTGTACTTTGAAATTACTTATCTAAAAAAAACTCAATAAAATGATTGCATAAAAATTAATTTACATTTTCTTTCCAAATTACATGTTTAGGTACAAGTATGCCTATAAGACTAGAAATTAACAATTGTCATGTTAGTTTGTTAATGTTTTCATTTATATTTGAGATAATATAGGTGCCTATACCTACAGTGTACTTTTTTTTTATTCAATAAATATTATTATTTTTTTTTTGATTTAAGCTTCGGCAACTGAGGCCATTAGCTGAAATATATTTTTTTTTTCTAGTATTGTCAATGTAATGCCTTCACATGTTATAAAAGTATATTTTAGACAAAAAAATCTTAATGAATCTGCCTCTCATCTGTTTCCTTGCGCTTAAATGACGCTGAAAGTTGAAATATGTAACGGTTAGAGTATTAGACACGCTTGATTATTTTAGAACGAAATAAATACATTCCAGGTTGATGAATATGGATTATGAAAATACTTTAATCGTCATGAATTGTAATCATATGTACCCGAAAATAATCTACGGCATTAATATTAAAAATCAAGGTCAATGTATAATATCATGCGGTCATTATAAATGAACAAATTAAAAAGTAATGGTAATACCATTGAACCTCTAATGATTTGACTCCGAATAATAGTAAAACAATGAACTGCGTTGATGCTGAATGGTTATGGCTATAATATTTTAAGCCAAAGATGAAGTGTTTACTAATCAATCTTATAGTTTTTATCAGTGCTGTTCATTCGGATAGAAGTAAACCTTTGTTTTTACCACAATTACCAGTTGTAAGGAGATACCTAAATAATATATTTTGTTTTCAGTGTGTCAATAATAATTGTCTTAAGACAAATACTTATTTCGTTAACAAGCATCGTCTTTTAGCGAAAAACATTTCTCATAGTACTATGTTTGATACTAGTTAAAAAATTTTTATATTTTTCATCAGGGCCAATACCGACTAAATTTCTTAGGGATAACGCGTTGTGTATCTGTACGTTCAAATGAGAAAATTCAATTTAATTGGTACCTAAGTAAAAAGTCCGCAAACACCACAGAAATCAAAGGAAACGTAACAAATTTCATTCCAACGGATGATTCTCTTAATGTAAGTTTAGTTAACATTTGTATTATAACTTACATTTTCTATTGATGGAAGTTAAATATTCACCTAACTTATTGAATTGTATATATTTTATTATTTTAATTTACAACCTATTATTGAACAAATTATAAATTTGAGATTATAATTTTATCAACATCTGATCCGATTTAGATCGAAATAAATATACAAAAAATTATTTTCTTTAAAGTTGGAATTCAATATGTCGATTAAAGATTCTATTGGTGGTTGGAAGGATAATGCTTATTTGTATAAGGCACCCAAAGCTTGTTCGGCACTCAAAGTGGTCTTAGGAGATGCTTGGACTCCACTAATGGATGGTCTAGGAATTTACAACGCCACTTGTCCTCTTCCCGTGGTATGAAAGTGTTATGTACATTAAAACAATTACGTATAGCAAAGCAGTACCTACTTGCCAAACTTTTTAATTATTGCAATGTGCAGTAATATTATTATTTATGATTAGTAATCTTAAGAAGAAAATGTTTTGATTATATTTCCAGGGTTATTTTATAGCTTCTGGAGCAGATACTAATCTTTTTCATTCGGCCAATTTCCCCAAGACATTTTATTATGGAACATACAGATTTCGTTTTTTTTATACCAAAAACAATGAAGTTTATGGCTGTTTTATTATAGTTATAGAGCTTAAACGGCCGTGGGAAACTAATAATTAAACATTAAATTAAAATAAACCATATTAACACTATTAATGATTATTGATTATCCTTGTGCTTTACATCATCAACATTGAAACATTTGTTATCTTTAAATTGTTCACTTACATTAGTAATATTGAAATATTTGTTGCCAATTTGTTTTCGGATTTATTTTTTCGTTTTGCACATGTATACTTTTTTTTATATACATTCTATACTAAACGTGATGACTTATTAAGTTTTTTTATGTTACTTTAATTAAGTATTATGTAACTTGATATGTAACACACAACCATTGGTTTTCATACAACTAAACATAAAATAACATATGCATTTGACTGTATTGAAAACAAACATATTAAATTGGTCCAGGTGGCTGCCAAATAAAATAAATAAAGGCAATAGAACAAATTCTTTTTAACTGTGCACCTATTAGAGTATTTCTCTCTTCTTTTACATGTTTGGCTGCCCATCCGTTGCTTTTAAAATTTAATAATTTTGTTATAAGATATGATAAGAATTCAAAATATGTAGTAATAATATTATTTCAGATTATTTGGAACTATATTTTATTAATGCGTTAGAAACCTGACCATCCGGGTGGTGGGGACTGCGCACCACACTATCATTATTTATACCTACCGGCTACCTCAACCATGTTTGTACTAGTATTTTATACCACTGTGTCATACGTCGTTGTATTGAATTTTCAATTTTGTATGTTGTATCCCTACTCGTCTTGTCCTTTTGTAATGTACTCAACAACTTTTCCTTTCCCTTTTCGGCCGACGAAGCCACCGACCAGCATAGCAGCGTCGTCGACTCGGGTCGACAAGGTCCACGACCTTTTGCGTGTTATTACTTTATGCCAGAGCTACGAAAACCTAGTTTTCTAGTCCCATAACATTCAAAAGTGTCCCTAAAGATGTACACTCAAATATTTACAATCCACAAAATGTATAAAAACCTTTACGTTCCTTTAATTTTTTGCTTACTTAAAGATAAATTCACACCAAACATATTCGCAAACTTTTCAGTTATTAGTCTATGAATGTATTAAGATTAATTTAACTTGTGAACCAAAACGCAATTTATTTAGGCGCTCTTTCAACGTGGTGACAAATTATTATTAAAGGCTGTAGGTTTCATATTGCACAAAGCTGGTGGAGAAAAATACAAACTTCAGGCCTTAGTAATAAATATAAACGAAATAGGTAAAAAAAACAAAATTAGGTAAATACTTGAAGTATATTTTTGGATTACCATTCTTAAGGGCTGAGGAAGTTGAAGATTGTTTTATAGAAGATCTAATGTCCATTAAACCAAATTATCAACAAACACAAAAATATACGGATTATATATTAAACAATTATACTGACTCGGAAGCAGTTTTCACTCCTAATATTTGGCCAGACTTCAAATCATCAACAGTGAGAACGACAAATGCCTAAGGATTTTTCCAAGCTCATTTCAATTCAAAATTCTATTTAGCAAAGCCTAATTTATGTCAATATATTGAACTTTGAAGTCTTGAAAACTGTACAAATCGATAGTTACATCCAAATAAGGAGTGGGCAGAACAAAAGGAAAATTATAGTATTAAAAGAAAATTTTATTGAAGAAAAAATAATTTGAAAAATGTTGGGTCCAATAAATCAATTTGAATTCGTAAAAGCCTTTTCGTTTAAATTTTTACCAACCATGTGAATTGTATGATATTTTTTAACATTTTATACTATATACCTACTAATATTGACATTTTAACATTTTTTTAACTAACTTAACGAAACTTAAAAAATATACATTTTTAACTATACCTGTGTTCTAGTTTACAGACCACTGACAGTAGTAAGTCTGTAAAAACGAGAAGGAAAATGTTTTTTTGAAGGGACCCAACTAGTGTAGAAAAGTAGTGAAAAACACTGAGACCTAACTAGGTAAAATAAAGGTCTTTCGGATCCGACTAGTAAATGCCAATCTAACTATGTCTCTTAAGTTCTTATCACACACTTATCATACACTCAATTTAAATTACATTTTTAAATACAAAAAACTAATTTACTGATGAAAATCGTGAATAGTTCATTTGAAATGGAAAAGTCAAATCCAGAATAAGTATCTAACATCAAAATTCTCTCTTAGTATTGATTTTACCATTCTTATTTCATTGGCTTTAGATAGAATACGAAGTGCACTTTCTGAAGTTACATTGTCGTATGTAGAAAAGAATTCGTTCTAAAAATAGGGAACAAGTTATTGAACCATATTTCATATTTGATTATCTTTGAAAGAAAGGGAATGTCCATTTTCTCCTTAAGGGTATACAAAGTATCGAGATCAAGACTTTTGGACATATTTTAAGTATTAAAGCCGTAATTATTTAATATGTATTTTAAAACCAATAAAACGTATACATATTTTCTGCAGGCTTTCCATTTTTTTCAATTTGAAAAATATAAAAAGGCCCCATACTGATGATTCATATCCGAATAAAGTAAGAACTAAAAATCAAAAATACCATATACAACCAAAGAAATAACTGCTCCAGATGGTTCCAGCAAATTAGAGGATGAATTAGCGTTAATTTTAACTTGCTGATGACGATCATTTAAAAAGGACTTCAACCAATTTTAAGTGATCCTAAAAAGCTCAATCTAAGATCAGTTAATAAAGTGAATGAATTGATAATTTTTTCTTTAGATTGTTATTTTAAAACTTAAGCATCCAGTTTTTAATTCAGTATTTTCTTTTTAAAAATATTGATTCAATTTGTATAGTTGAAATGAGTGACTCTAGTAGACTTCAATTAAATATAGTCTATGATGTCTTTTCATGAATTAGTAATTTTGATTTAATAATTCTGAATTTCAGAATAAATTGTTTTAAATGTGAACACAATATCTTTTAAGGATATATCATCTGCAATATTTTTCCCTAAAAGACTTGAATAATTAGTTGATTAAGGTGGACGAGGTTAAATAATTGCAAACATTTAGTAAAATCAAAAAACAATAAAATGACAATATAGTTGATTAGGAAGCCGTTTATCTAAGCTAACATAATAAAGTAAAATATTTTCAAATTAAAAGTAAGTTCTATAGATCAACAACAGAAATTTAAACACATAAAATGACCGGTCGTCTTACCAGTCTTATCAGCAACTAGCAAGTAATATGTACTGTGTGGTATATTACATAAATATAAACTATTATAGTTTTATTGCCATTTGATGTTTAATCAGTTTCCCAAGGTCGCTTCACCTCTATAACAGAAGTTGCACAGCCATAGACTACATTGTTTTTGGTGAATTGAAAACGAAATTTGTATGTTCCATAAAAAAATTGCTTGGGTAAATTGAAAAACGAGTGATTAGGACTCATGTCAGATGCAACATAACAACCCTGCAAATATAAATCATTTTTTTTCTTCTCTAAATTACACAATACACATCATATGTATACATGATTATATATTGTGGATTATAAGCAATTGGAATTAAAATATCTAATATAAACGTACAATTAATGAGGAATCAATCATTTCCAATTGGAATAAGAAGCTGAAAAATAATCAAAATATCTTTCAATTTTTGTCATGATGTAGAGAAACTGTCACGTAAGCGTAAAAATTTCGGTTTTAAAAAACTATTGGAAACTTTAACCAAAAACAGTGCTTAGTATCTTCACACTTCATTCAGTATTTTACTGTTATTTCTTTATTTTTTTTTAAATACCCAAAAACCTAAAAGCTTTATAATTGCTATACCTATATGCATTTTAAATGTAATTTTTCCCATTCAATATATAAATGTGTTGAGTCTAAGGTCTTAGATATGTTCATATTTGAACAAAAAAAAGTCATTCATCAACGTAAAACCATACGAGAGTAGAGACTATCACTAAGGCTCAGTTTTAAGAAAGACTTTGGTTCAAAATCAAAAAATCAACCTAGAATCAAAATGTAGAATATATTAACGATTTTATTATTGTTATTTATATAATGCTTATTCTTACCACGGGAATAGGACAACCATGTATATTTTGCATTCCTAAACTTTTCGTGACTGTAGACCAAGAATTTCCCAACAAATTCTTGAGTGAAGAGCAAGCTTTAGGTGTCTTAAAAATATGAGCATTATCCTTCCAACCACCAATAGAATCTTTTACCGCTAGATTTACTTCAATCTATAAGGAAAACAATTTAAATATTTTGAATGCCATCGGCTCAACCAGCATAAAACGATAAAATTCAAAAATTATTTTAGAAGTCATCGCATTTGGTACTGAACTTATTACATGAACTAGATATATAAAACAACAGATTTATAATTTGTCCAGCAATAAATCTATACTATACCATAGACAATTTAATAATTATAGCAACTAAACTTACTTCAAGATAAAACCCACAATTTAATGATTATAATAACATCTATACTTGCATTTAAAGAATCATCAAGCGGTACATAATAAGTAACGTTTCCTTTAATTTCTGTGGTGTCGACAGACGTTTTGCTTAGGTAAAAATTAAATTTAATTAAGTCCTTCCATTTGATTGTTTCACAACGTACAATTGCTAACATTTTTACTCGGTATTCACCCTGAAGAAAAGTAGAAATTTGTTACGGAATTAGAACACATTATAATTTAATTAGGTAAGAATAAGGTACAGAGAACATTATTTTTTTACAACGTGGGTTACAATTTTGTTGCTATGTTGATACATGTACCTAATTAGGTGCTTACAATCGGTAATCGTGGAAGAAGCACACGTTTAGTTGTATCTGAATTGACAAAAATTACAAAAACCATTACATAATATATTAGTATACACTTCATCTTTCGTCTTTAATATTATAACCTCAAAAGTACCAATGCGATTTATTGTCCTACTGTTTTCGCGCAGAGTAAAATAATTTTTTGTACAATAGTAAATACCCGTCTAATCTAATTTAGTTTTAATTTTCAATGGAATCATGTGTATGGATTTCATTATTTATTGACCTTGTTTACACTAATATTACAGTAGATGGCTATAAAATGCAATATCATATGTATAACAGATGTACACAATGTGCATGGATTTTTATCATCTAGACCATGCAGATTATATTATTAACTGGTGGCGTAATACCCTTGGACTTAAATATGTACAAAAAATCCCAAACAGCCGGATCACTATTTGTGCTATTATAAACTCTCCACAATTTGCGAAGGTTATTATGCATTGTATATTATTATATGATAAAAGCAATCGAAATTGGATTTCATTAAGAGTATCTCATTGTTTATTAAGCGTATATCAATAGAAACCATTTAATTAAACATTACAATATAAATTAAATTTAAAAAAGTTAAAATTGACTGAAATTAAGTTTTTAACACTCTTATGTCCACGCTCGATTGCACATGCTATTTTGCACTCTTGTGTATTTATATATTGTATCTATATTATTAATAAATATCAGATTGAAGTATTACTAGTTTAATCTTATATATTTGCATGATCCTGTGTGGAGGGTTCCCACATTATATTATAAGTTATTGTATCACTTTAAGAATATATCTTGGAGCACATTACACTATAAATATATTTGTACTGGTTATATCCAGCGCCACGGTCATGGCCCGAGCCAAGTAAAAAACAATTACCGGTGTCACAACAACAACGAGTTTAGTAAAAATTCAAATCTTTGGTTTCGATTTTATGACCTCAGTAGAAATTAAGATAGATGCCCTCGTGGTGATAAAAACGCTCCTATAATAATCATAGAGTGGACAAATTAGAACAAAAATTATTGATGTAAAAATTTGTGATATCACAGAAAAACTCTTTGTTGAACCACGTGTGGAAAACGCCTAGTAAAATAAAACAGATCCCTAGCACTACAAAGATGTGATATCATAAATAAATGTTGAGAAAGTTGAATTAAAGTACACATATTCTCAATAATCTAATTACTTGGCGAGAAATTATTTTGATTAGAAATTTCTGTCAAAATATTTTAAATTAAAATAAGCTTTATTATGCCTTTTGTCAATTTTGTTCACGTTGTTAGTGTGCCGCGTCATATGAAGTATATAATTTCTCACGACGCACAGTGGGACAAATCAAGGTTTTAGGAGGTCAAAAATAGAAAATTTTAGTGTCTTAATCAGCGGCTATAAACTGCAATAGTTGTTGCCTCTTATCTCACGATGCCAAATATATAGCAATATGCGATAATCATTAAAAAATGAGCTGATAAATGTAGGTATGGTTCACAAAAATTTGTGCATTTCATGCATTCACACCGTGTGCACGTGTATTATACATTTTAGTTTTTCTTTATTGAATATTATACAATTTGTTTTGGAGTTTTGTGTATCAAAAATGGATCAACATATAGCACCAAGTAAGTGTATTGATTAGTATTTATACCATATATTAAAATTTACAAATATAAATGTACTCGTATATCACGCAATTAAAGAAATTATACTTTTTTTGTATATAATTGAGTAGAAAAATTATTTAGGGGCTCTTAGAAGTAGCAATTATTATTCGTTTGATGCATAATCATATTTAATATATAATACTAAATTGAAAAGTTGCTCAAATTTGCCCCTTTTTAAATTACGATTTTATTACAATAATTTTTTTTATTTTTTCTCATAGATAAAACTGACATTGTAAAAAAAGTTAAAAACCGTTGTTTAATTGAAGAATTAAGAAAATCTGGATCTGCTTTACATACAAGTTCTTGTGAGGTCCGAAGTACCTTGACCATGTATTTGCATAATACATTTGGTGACGAGTGGGACTTATGAGGACTTTGAAAAATGCGTTAAAGGGAAAATTGAAAGATTTTGTAGTACAGTAAATAAAAAATGGAAAGAATCTAATCGATGTATGTCAAAATTTTTAATTAAAAATGAAAAATGGCTACAATTAGAATTTAACATTCCATTTATAGCAAAAAATGAAATAGGCTGCCAACCATCAACAAGTCGAGGTAGGCCAAGTAAATCTTTTTTTGATTTAAGTGAACGTTCAAAACGTAGGAAAACCGAATATTTAAGGAAAACGACAACAAGTGAGGTATTGATTTGTGCTGCGAAAAATACTTTGCACTCTGAAGGGAAACGAGCAGCTGCTCAAATGTTGTCACAAATAACTGAATACTCTCCTCGTAGAGCAATTAAAATTAAAAATATGTATAAAAATAGTTCTAAAACTGTTATGCCTTATACTGAAGATGAGGCTCTAGCTTTTATAGTTGACACACGCATGACAAAAGATGCTTATCAAATAACTAGACTTGGGGCCAAACAACGTGGAGCTAATATTTATCCTGCATATCATCGTATTCGTTTGGCAAAAGAAAGATGTTACCTTGAAGGTATAGAAATTCACGAGGAAAAATCTTCTGTTCCACTCCAACATTTGTTAGATCAAACACTAACTAGATTATTTGAAACATTTAAATTTGATAGTAATATGAATCTTGATGAAGTGTATAAAGACCTTAATTTTTTATGCAAGTGGGGTTGTGATGGAAGTTCTGGACATAGTGAGTACCACCAAACATTCAACGATCAAAATATAACAGATTCAAGTGTTTTTTTATTTTCTTTGGTCCCATTACGACTAACCGGAATTTCGAAAATTTCAAAAAATACAACAATTTAATGGAAAAATCCAACACCTTCGTCTACGCGTTATTGTAGACCAATAAAATTTATGTTTAATAAAGAGACAGTAGAAAACACCAAAAATGAAGTGCAAAAATTAGAGAAAGAAATTGCAGAACTAAAACCCTTAAAATTAAATATAGGTAAATAATAATGTTGTGTCTATTAGTTATACAATGGTTATGACGATGATTGATGGAAAAGTAATAAACACTTTAACAGAATCTTCAAGCCAAGTTTGCTTTATTTGTAAATGCAACCCGACAAATATGAACAATTTAGACCAAATGCACACATTTCAAATCAATGAAGATAATCTTAAATACGGTTTATCCACATTACATGCCTGGATCAAATTTTTAGAGTGCACTCTGCATATTGCATATAAATTAGAATCGGCTCCTACAACAAAAAGGACAACTGTTGAACAAAAAATTTTAATTTCAGAAAAAAAGAAAGAAATACAATCTCGTCTTTGGGAAGAGTTGGGCTTAAAAGTTGATAGAGTGGTTCAGGATATGGGTACATCAAATACGGGGAATGTTGCCCGAAGATTTTTTAAGAACCCGGAAAAAGTCTCAGAGATTACAGGAGTTGATGTTCGACTAATCCATAGATTTTCAATAATATTAGCAGTGATTTCTAGTGGTCATGAAATAAATTATAAAAGATTTGATGAATATTCCAAAGAAACAGCTAAACTTTATGTACATTTATATAATTGGTACCGTATGCCTCCAAGCGTGCACAAAATTTTGATACATGGCTCTTTAGCGATAAAACATGCCCTTGTTCCCATTGGACAGTTATCTGAAGAAGCACAGGAGTCACGAAACAAAGACTATATACGATTCCGAGAACACCATTCTAGAAAATCGTCACGTATTAACACAAAAACAGATTTATTTAACTTCCTTTTGATAACATCTGACCCAATAATAACTGGATTAAGATCTCAGATTAAAATTTCATCAACTCAATTACCTTCAGACGCAATATATTTATTGAATATTGAAAGCACCGAAGATTACGAGTCTAATGAAGAAGAAGCTGAAAGTAATAGTAATTAGAATTAATTTTAAAGCTTGTTAGTTGATTAATTAAATTATTAAATTGTTTTTTTACACATAAAATGACTTTGGACGTCTTCCGGTACTAGAAAAATAAGCTTATTGTACTTATAATATTATATACATATAACCTTTTTTGGTTTTATTGCGATTTGATGTTTAATCAGTTTTCCGACGTAGCATCACCTCTAAAACTGAAGTAGAACAGCCATAGGCTACCTTGTTTTTGGTGGATTGAAAACGTAATTCGTGTGATTTGTACAAAAAATTGCCAGGGTAAATTTGAAAAGTAAAATAATTTGGATAATTTTGGAATAATAAATAAACATTTGGCTTGGAGGTCTCATTTCGAACCCTGGAATGTTTGAAATTCCAGTTTCAGTGTCTAGAAATTTCACATCACTCATGAAAATCGGCAATTAAATAATACGATTCTCCATCGTACCTATGTCCGGTGCTTTTTCGTATTTAAACAAACTGTATGTTTGAAATTCCTGTTTGAGTGTAGCAAGTCAGCCATCACAGGTATAATACGAAACCATAGTTATTAGCAATCAATCGGCATATATTACGAAAAACACAAATAAGCTTTCAAACTGTATGTGACTATGTGAGCCTATAGCTACTAGCCATTAGCTAGTAAAACAACATAATAAATTATAACTGCACAAGCCACACCGAAATTTATTGTTCTACCGTCATTTTTAGTAAAATGATTTTTGGTACTATTATAGTGCTTAATCTTTTTTAATTTGTTATATTATAATGTGTATGTAGGTATATATTGTTATTATCTATTGACCTCGATTTCACAATCGTTTCTGTATACATATAATATTATCTAGATAATACCATTATAGATATTATATTCACAATATAATTGAGAATTACGATAACTATACATTTCAAAATTCGTAATTATGATAATGGGTCTGATATTTAATTATTAAAGTGCATGTTCGCTAATCCGTGACGTTTTTTCCTCCTAATTTAGTGATGTGAGCATGATATTAAATAATTGATACCCATTAATTCCAGATCGTTGGAAATTTGTCACGGTACTAGAAATTCATATGTTTCATTTTCATGTTTCAATTCGA